AAAATTAGCAATGAATATTTTTTGTTTGTTTGTTTGCTTTTTCCTGTTTTCTTCCTCTCTTTCTCTGTTTTCTTATCTTTTGTCTTTTACCTCATCACTTTGTTGCTCAGCCTCCATGCACTGAGTGTCTAGACAAGTCTAAGTGAAAAGCTGCCAAAATCTGAACACTATTTGGGTCCTCATATTCCTCAACTCCCACTGAATCTTCGACACAAAGGGAGAAAATGCAATGCTGAAGAGTTTGCAGACCACATCCTCTTGTGCGCCTCTGATCGCTCAGATTGATCTAGAAATTAGGAAGAAACAAACGAACAACCCATGAGATGACTAGAAATCACCACAGAGGCACAAGAAATATGCAAAACCAAGAAAATACCTCTCTCCCAAGGGAAAAGAATAACTTCTCTTCAACCACAGACAGTGCAATGGAACTCACGGAAATGCCGGATAAAGAATTTAGAATACTCATAGTGACAAAACTAGTAGAGATGGAAGAGAAGAGAGACAACGAACACCAGAAGAAAAAACAAACAAACAAACAAAAAAACAAAAAAAGAAGAGTTCGAGGAGTTGAGGAAGTTCTTGTGAGAGCTGAAAGAGGAAATAAACACCATAAAAAAGAATCAGAAGAATCAAATGGAAATGTTGGAAATGAAGGCTATAATACAGGAAGTCGAAACCGCCTTTGAAAGTATTAAAAGCAAACTAGATCAATCCACCATGAAGACTGAGAAAATAGCCCCAATTTTTTTTTGACTAAAACATTACTGATCTTCTATGCTTTGTTTTCCAGTGTTAAGGAGTTTTGTCTTCTCTTGAGTTGTGGACAGGTCCATGTACCTACTATTCAAACAGAATCCTAACCTGTTTCCTGCCTTTAAGTATTAAGCAAAGTTCTCTTAACATTTTTTTATTTTTATTTATTAAAGCTAAAACATCCTTTCTTGATACCTATTTAGTGACCATAGTAAGCTATATAGCCTCAGCTATGTGCTATTTTATAGTATATTCATTCTATCCACAGAGTTTCATGCCTAAAGTCAACTTTTGTTCACAGATATGTATATATCAGCTGAACTTACTATTGAAAGTATTTAGATTAATGAAGATATTTTGTGAATCAATATGATGTGGGAAAGAATAAAGGAATGGAAAGCAACTGCAGATGCCAGACACAGGGTGGGAGGAGGATGGGAAATGGCAGAGGGTGAGAAATAGGGTGAAAAAAAATATATATATATGAAACAAGAAATGGAAAATTATTTGTTGATGATAACATGCATGATTAAGCCACTTTACTGTGTATTCTGACTGGAAAAATCACATTTTGTATCTTGCAGTGATGTTCAGTGAAAGTATATAAAATAAATAAATTTAAAAAAAGAAAATAGATGGATTGAAATTATAATAGCTACTTGCAGAGTTGATTTGTTAACAAGGCTGGAAAATGGGCAGTAACAAGGAAGACTACACCTTAGCCAAGGTGACAGTTATGCCACACCTGTGCAACGAGACTTTACTACTGATGTCCCTGTCAACCAGGCCCAGCAGTCTGCATCAACTTCCACCAGTGGGCTCAGAAGTTTTCTCTACTTAGAGCCTGCCCCTGATTTCCCCAGAAATGTGTATTTCCTCCATTACTACTGCCTCCAGTGGGAATTAATTGAAAGAAAGAGAGAAAGATTGAGAGGGAGAGAAAGAAAAACTAACTTTGAAAAACAATGCACACGACCTTTGAAATGTAGTATAATGTAGTCCCCAAACCCTAGTCTCCTTATAATGGAGTGATGTTTGGAATTTCTCTGACAAGTTATTTCCCCCACAATGGAACAGGTCAGATATAATGTAAAGTGACTATCTGTCCTATGGCACAGCTAATGCTCTGTGAAGATAATGAACATGGATCAAGATTTTATACCTGCAAGATGTGAGTCCATTTTGTAACCTCTCTAAGTCATATTCTCCTCATTGGTGAAGTGAGGCTGATAAAATCTACTCTTTATTGTGAAGCCTAAATGAGAGAATGTTTGTGAAGTGCTTAATGTGGTACATGGAAGACAGAAGTCGTTACATCATAAACTATTAGGTAAATAATCTTTTGAAGGACTGTGTATGCTATGGTTATAGGAACTTAGTAGAAGAGATTAAAAATGTATCAACTGATTCCTGTATTCAGACATGTTCCGTTTCTAGGCTATCTTATTCACGTGTCTCAAAGTAGTCTTATTTTAATGTGGTCTGAGAGAGATGTGCAAAAAGTTTTAGGGGGGATATATTTGTTTGATTTTCTAAACAGGAATTCTTGACTTTTCTATGAATTCTATGAATTCCTTCACTACATAATAATGGTATGTTTCTTTTAGAAATTATTATACCTCGCTTTAAGTATTGCTTTCTGATTTTCAGAGTACCCTATAATTCCTAATTAGTTTTTTCTCCAGGACACTAGATAATTTTTTCCAAGTGTTGGTAGACAATCTGGGAGCATTAATCCGAGCCCAGGTAAGCATTTTTGACAAGATCAAAGAGCAAATGTTTAACTGAGACAGAACTGGCAGACTTTAGAGTTTTCAGACATTGACATGATAGTTCTTCCTTTCTCAGAAGAGTGAACAAAGAGGCGTCTTTGAGCAAAGGGTAAATCCTCTTTTTTCAAAGCAGTAGTTCTCAAAGCATGGTCAGGAATCTACAGGATCCCCCAAGATCTTTTAGGAGGTCCATAAGCCTTTAGATCCTTATTTTTTTCTACTTCAGATCTATGCCAAATCTGTGATGCCAGGTTTTCCTTAAATAATGTGCTTCAACTCAAACACCATATCACGGCTGATCGAATGCAGAAGCAAATGTGTGAATTCAACTGCCTTGTATTTAACCAGATATTTAGAGAGACTTGCAAAATTGTAAAGTAATGAACTTTTCTCACTAAAACTTTTGTGTTTTGAAAAATGCAATGTTTTTTCATAGAAACATGGAATTCATTAGTAGGTGGTGAATTTATTTGGAATGAATGGTATATATAGCTAAATTTTCTTCACTTTAATATATTGTATACCAATAGATAGAACTCACATAAACAAAAGCACTTGAGGGATCTTGATAATTTTTAAAATTATAAAAGGGTCCTAAGGCCAAATGTTTAGAATAATTATCTTAGAGATTTTTGGCTCTGGTTTATACTTTAGAGCATTTATGTTAGCTGATAGGTCTCATGCCTTTTTTTTTTTTTCTTTTTTGAAATGTATGACTTTTGCCATGTAATGTACATGAAAAATATTAAAACGAAAGTCTGCTCCCCCGTTTTTTCCAGAAAAGTTAAAGATCCAATAGAGTCAGAGTACTTTTTCCCTATCTAGATGACCTCATTGTTCAAATGGCTCTACTGGACTGGCTATGGAAGTGGGGGTATCCTCCTTAGAGAATCACTGTAAAATCCATTAACTAGGGGTCAGGAACATGAGGGTTGTAGATCATCTTAGATCATTAATATGTTAACATAGATCTTTTAAACATTGGAGTTCATATCATACCAGGCTCTTAAGGAAATATATAGAACCATAGGGTTCAAAATTCAAGCCAGATGAGCCAGCCTGCGGCCTAGTGGTTAAGGGTGCTCACATGACCAACCTCATGGTTTGAATTCTGGACCTGGTGGCTTGAAAAACATGTGAATACAGGTGCAAATGTGCCACAAATCCCAACAGGATGGATAAATGGAGAAGAAAGGATGGCAACCTGACCACTCCTAATGGGAATGCTTTCTCCCTCTCTTCCTTTCTCTGTTTCTATCTGATAAGCACAATTGCTTCCCACCCCTGGCAATTTTTTAAAAAATATTCAAGTTAGATAAGTTTTAAGGGAAAAGGTTTGGAATAAACTGCAAGATATCCTGGGGTCCACATGAGAAGCACCTTGGAATTAGAGAGTGGGAGATGAAGAAAGCAGGACTGAAGTCTCTCTCCATCTTTTTCATACTTTTACCTTGTTTTGACTAGGGGCAAAAGAATGATGAGGGTAATCAAGGAAATTAGTAAAAGGGAGAACAATCAGGAAGTGAGGAGACCAGTGGAAATAGTGTAAGGGAGTAGGGGCTAGCGCCCCACCAAACAGCTGCTCAGGTCTCAGTTCTGTAGTTGTGATCACTCCAGTGCTGGAACTATGGATTAGGAGACACCTTGGGAGACACTCTGGGCTGAACTATTGGTGTTTGGTCCTGGGAGGGCATAGCACATGATTACCATTGGTTGTCATCAAACTCTGAATGTATCAGGGATTTCAAAAAGTCTGAGGAACAGTGGAATTAAAGTATGAGTTTATTTTGGTGTAAAAAGATTAAATACCCCTACAGCTGTTTTTTGTTTGTTTGTTTTGTTTTTGTTTTTGTTTTGTTTTGTTTTATGAGAGTTTTCTTTTGGCTATAGGGCACATGTGCTCACCAGAAAGACAGAGAGAGACAGAGAGACAGAAAGCAAGAAATCACCCCCCCGGGGCAGGGGGATGGCCACACCGCAATCCCTTCTCCTCCATTCTCCTCTCAGGATCCTGGGCATGGACACACACATGCCCCGAACGACTTTAAGCCACTGAGTCCAGGACTCGAACCGCAGTCTACTACATGGGAGTCCAGCAATATAGCCATTACACCAACTGCTGGTCCCCACCTATAGTTTTTCATAATATCAATTTCTGAACTTTTTAAGACTGTTCACATAGACTTTGAGATATTGTGTCAACGGTTGAAATTCAAGGGTGTATATTGGTTAAGGTGTAACAAAGATGGTGTTTTATATATATATAGGTGGAGAAAAAAGATGATTTTGGTTTTGAGCACAATAAGCTTACCAGGTAGAGATGTCCAATAGGCAGTTAAAAAATGAAGATCTGGATCTTGGGAGAGGGGTGTGACTGGATGTGTTGCCTAGGGAATCAGCATCATATAGAGATGGTCGAAATCGTGTATCAATGAGGTGACATTAATAACTGTCTCTCTTTTGCTTTATCAGCTCTTCCATGTGGCCTATATTTTAATCAAATTTGCAAATTCTCCTCGCCCTGACCTTTGGATCTTGGAAAGATCTGTAGATTTTGGAAGCACCTACACACCATGGCAATATTTTGCACGTAAGTCATCTTACCTACCATGTTGTGAGCGACTTAATTATTTTCAACAAATCAAGACTACAGATTTAATTAGGGAATAAATTTCTCAGTGTGCCTGTTTAAGGACTAGTCAGTATTAACTTCCTAAGTTAACTCTCAGAACATCCCCATTTCTCACATATGTGTTCAATAATTCCAAAAATACTATGAGCAAAACAGAGATTGAAGCTCTTTTTATAACAGTTATTGTCACTTTTAGGGGAAAACAGTGTACCTAAAGTTAGACCATAGCACTAGAATTTACATAGAATTAGGGACTGGATTTCATCTTTATGGATCCTGCATTGTATATTACTTACCTTGACCCCATTAACTCCTTTAATGAAGAATATCAATGTCTATGAACTCTTTATTGAATGGAGGTGGATAGGAATTTTGCTTATAAAGACCTTGAGTACTTGCCTACTGAGGAGTGACGAGTTAGCAACATATCTCCAAAGAATGCTACTGAAAGTCAAGTGACCTGAGATGGCTTGGTATTTTCTTACATTAATTTAAAAATTCATACTGAGCTTTTGTCTAAAAGTCATAAATGCTTCCCAGTTTTCTCTCTTTTCATGTGTTCCTTTAAGAAAAATACAAGACTTCCTGAGGTACAAAATTGATAGCATTTTATTTTATAATACTGAAATATTTTCTTCCTAGACTCTAAAGTAGACTGTTTGGAACAATTTGGGCAGGAGGCAAATACAGCTATCACCCAGGATGATGATGTACTTTGTATTACTGAATATTCCCGTATTGTACCTTTGGAAAATGGTGAGGTGAGTAGATTTGGGAGGCTGTGGAAAATAAGACTCAGGAATTAGCATGTGGTCATCAAAGTGTTCATCATTGTGAAGCTTGTACTTTTGAGGAGATTTAGAACAAGGTGGGAACCAGCACTTAGACTCAACAGTAAAGGATTCATAGCAAGGATTCCCAGATGAGTTGGGTTAGAAATTCTAACTGGGATCTTGAATTTTTCTCAGGAAGTCAGGATTTGGGATTCAAGGTTCACAGGTCTTGAGCTCTCCTTTTTGGTGGTATATTTAGAAAATGGGCTGCTGGTCAGTGAGGTGATGACCCTCCCCACTTCCTTATACATTATCTTCAGTAAGAATAAGGAGAAAGAGGTAGGTTGTAGCACTAATCCCTGATCCCTTTTAGTGAGGTGGGCACTATCTGTTGGGGGAATAAAGAATATTGCTGTCATTTTGGAATTGTATTGGGTTGTCAGAAAAGTCATGATATATTTCTTTTAAAATGCATTATGACTTTTTCGACAACCCAGTATTTGGCTATTGAGAAGTCAACCAGACTACTTAGGGGAGAAGGGCAAACAGACATGGGGAAAATCAGAGAAGAATCCATGGAAATTGGGAGGCCATAATGAATATGAACTGAGTTTCAAGTAAACTTTTATCAAGAGTGTCAGTCTCCCTCTCTTTAAATCGAGAGATCTTACTTGAGCAGCTATAGTCCCTATCTTCCACAACTGGTGAGTGATTCATGCTTCAAATGGTTGATACTTGGACTTTATCACCTCAGGCTCTAAAACAAAACTCAGGTTTGATATAGATTTTTTTTTTAAATTTTGTCTCCATCACTGTTAACTCTTTATTCAGAAATTTTCTTTCTTCCATCTCATTTAGATTTTTAGATTACTGAAGTTTTTTTTTTTGATGCAGCTTGGTAAAGTTTCCTTTTATGTATAGATTATAGCATTATATTTTCAATACTTCTTGGTGTTTTAGCCCCATAACTATGCTGGTAAAACAAAGCTGTTTAAAAATAAAATGATAATATCTCCTGAGAGCCCAGGTTTCAAGGACGTATTGCCAGAACTTGGAACTAGGAAAGGGGAGGGAAGATGGAACAAGCAATGATGTTTTTAGACACAAATAAAATCCAAGACCACCTACAAACATCTAATGGCTCAAAGAAACCAAGTGCTTTGGAGCATGTGCATTATTTCTAGTTACTTGGTGCTAAATTTTGATGAAAAGACTTTTTCCCCTGATACGTGTGTGCTTATTTTAGGTTGTGGTGTCCTTGATAAATGGCCGTCCAGGTGCAAAAAATTTTACTTTCTCTCACACCCTGAGGGAGTTTACCAAGGCAACAAACATCCGCTTGCGTTTTCTCCGAACCAACACTCTTCTTGGACACCTCATCTCCAAAGCACAAAGAGACCCAACTGTCACGCGGCGGGTGAGCAGTGCTTTTTAAGTGCTTAGTTGGCAGGATTTGTTTGGTTACTTTTTTCACTTATCTAAATTAATTGCCCTGAAGTTTTTAAAGTAACCATTATAGCCAGTAATGGTGTAGGCATAAAGGTTGTTCTTGTCTTAAATACTAGATGTAATTAGGAGTTAGACTGTTTGAAGTAAAATCATTATATCCAATGAAGATGAAAGGCAAAAGATTATAGTCAGCTTGGTCTGAGTCTGGATGGGCTCACCACTATTATACTTCCCAATTCCTAGATCTGAGTGGGTTGACAAAACAACGTTTTTATTTCTCCTTGTGTCAGAGTCCACTGTGGTGAGATTGGTTCCATACAGTCATTCAGGGAACCAGGCCCTATTATCTAGAGGCCAACCACCCTGTAGGATGAGAGGACTTATCCTCTGTACTACTGAGAGTACTCTCTGGATTCCCTGCATCTGGTCAGAAGATGAAGGAAGAGAAAACATAGAGAAGATCCACCATTCCTGACTATTTTCATTGACATGAACTGGTCATGGAGGCTAAGTAACGTAATATTGCTGAAGTAGAGGAGAACACAATTATTGGTGAACACTAGAGCTCTCTACTATGTTAAATGTATGCCCTGAACATCTCTTGCCCTCAGGTGTCGGGATAGTACCCCATCTCCTGGGTACAGAGGGAGCCAGCAAAATAAATGCCCTGAGTTCACTGTTTTCTTGCCATTGTCTCTACTGGCCAAACCCAAAAGGAAGCTAGAGGCAAGAGAGCCCATGTTGCAACCCGTAAAGTTCAGCCCCAGGGCAGTGGAAGGGTGAATTGAAAATGTCCAATGTACTTTATAGATTTTGGCTTTTTTTTTTTGGAGGGGGGGTAGATAATAATAGGGAAAGGAAAGAGGGAGGGGAAAAACAAAAGTTTTGCTACAATTTTGAGCATTTTCCAGAAAGGCAGGGTACCTTGGGTGTAGGCGACCTCATCTTTTGCATTTTACACTCTCTTAGTGCTCTCTAAGTTGCTGTGGAGGTGGGACTGTACTGTATCTAAGGAGGGATATTTACATAAAATAGCTGAGCCTTCTTATAAACTATAGGCAGGTGGCAGGTGCTCTGGGGCCCCACCACAAATGTACCTCATCACTTATTTATTTATTTATTTTTATAAATTGTCTTTTTTGTGGGTCATAAGATTTATACTCATGTTTACTTTTTTCCTTAGGTAATCATAACCTTCTCTATTAAGTAATATTTTAAGAATTTATTTTATTTATTTATTATTTTAATTTGTACATACACTCACCAGGGAGACAGAGAGAGAAAGGGGGAAAGTGAAAAAGCAAGTTGCCAGATCTGGGACTCAAACCATGATCAGTCACGTGGGAGTCCAGTGTCATCTGCTGGCCCCAATTAAGTAATTTCTTTTAACAGATTGCACCATATATATAATCTTGACCCCTCAAATCTAGGTTATTCTTGAATGGAAGAATATGATAGTAGCTGTCTTATCACATGAGTCCTGTGTGTTTTGGGGTAAAGGCTGATTGAAGACTTCTCTTGCTGCTGCCCTTAACATAAGTTGAGAGAGAAACTTCTATGGTGATTAGCACAACAGCCCTTGGATATTAACTTGTCATGGAAATTTCCGTAATACTGACTTTACCCAGTATTAATGAGAGATTTTAATGCCTTTACACTAAGTTAGGTGTTGCCTGGAAGATTTGATATCATCATGATATTAAATTAGGTATCCAGAATAAAACCCCAACCTTAAAAATACATGGCTCTTTAAGACAAAAGAGATACAAAAACCCTCTTGTCCTAATGCATTCAAAGACTTCTTTGCTGACAGGTAATCTTCTCACTGTCAGCATGGCCTCAAAGAGAAAGATTGTTCTACAACCCTTACGACATTCCTATCCCAATCCTGTGTAGTCTCCTGCCAATCTGAGAAGGAAAGGAGCTGGCAGAGGGGCCACCTATTGTCCCTAGTGGAGAGGCCTCCAAAATACTGGAGAGGTGCCTTGTCAATGGCCTGTGCATATTTGTGGGCTAATCCTTAGCCAGGTCTGAAGCTGGCTGTCTGGGATTTGGGGATTTTGTCCCTCTGATTTTGGCAAGGCTTCAACTACTGCTGGTGGCCCTTGCCAGTGTCAGGGCTATATCTGATCTATCTTTGTAAATATGCTCTTCCTGGGGCAGTATTTTGTACAGAGTAGGCACACAATTTTTTTTTGTACAAAAATTTACTTTTGGCCAATAAATTAATGTATGAAATCCAGATTTACATTAAAACATAAACTCAAGAACAATCTCTTTTCAATAGGCCATAGGTTATGATACTTTTCAAAAGTAATTTTCCTCCATGCATTTAAAGCACTTGATTTTGTCTGTTTGTTTTTAATTTGTCAGAGGGCATGTGTACTTACTAGAGAGAGATAGATAAGAGAAAGAGGAAGACAATCTCCATGAAAGATGACCATGCCCTTGTGCCCAGCATATTTTTCAGTCTCCTGGGTCAGGACTCAAACTGCGCAGTCAGCCGAGTAGGATCCAGTTGACTTAGGGCTGACATCTGATTTTCAAAAGTGGACACATTTGGCAGTATGCTATTAAGTTTGCTAGAGGAATTCACTTATTTTGTAAGACAAGTTATATCCAGATGTGGCTCCTTTTTGTGTTGGGATAGGCAAGGAGAAGTGACTGGAGGGCACAAAATAAAAGGGAAGCGGGGTCAACTCAAATGTGGGCTAAAGGTTAATAAGGGGAGTACATGGTGGCGCAGCAGTAAAACACGATGCTCTATGAGGTTGACTCACATGGAAGTTCTGGGTTTGTGTCTGGAGACTTCCCAGAGTATGATGGCTATGTGTTTGTCTAAGATCCAGGGCTGGCTAAGTCTGGGGGTGGATGGTGGTGTCAAGACCCTATTAGAAGTGTACACGCTCTCTCTCTTGCTCATGGAAGAAATAAATAAACATAAAAAAGATAAGAGAAAGTCTATGTTGTCTATTAAAATCTCCACATTCTGTTTTCTGTTGTACAGTATTATTACAGCATAAAGGATATCAGCATTGGTGGACAGTGTGTTTGCAACGGCCATGCTGAAGTGTGCAATGCAAACAATCCAGAAAAACTGTAAGTACATTGTGTAGATTTCTTTTGGCCTTGCCATGAATAAGTCTAATTGTTTCACTGGATGTTTGCATCCCATTAAATATTTCTAGGTTCCTGCCCTCATATTTCAGTATCAACAAATAAGTAAAGAGCATGTGCCGCCCCTTTCTTTTTCCAGTCCTCTCCTTTCTTCCATATACCCCCAATGGGCCCATGCCAGTGATAGCTAATCAATCTTGGCTCTCTGTAGATGATCTGGGAAGCAGCCCCCCCATCCTTCCATGAGATGCTCCCTCAGGCAGCCTCTAAGAATTGATTAGAGTTGGCAAGAGAAATGAAATAAAACTTGTTTGTCATTCATGGTTTAATGGAATCAGGACATACTTTTCAAATCCTTTTTAGTTTTAATAAAAATGCATATAACATAAAATTTAGCATCTTAACTATTTTAAAGTGTACAGTTCAGTAATATTAAGAATAGCCAAAGCTTTGTGCAGTTAAGCTCCAGAATTCCTGTCATCTTGCAAAACAGTTCTGAAACTGCACATCCTTTAAACAATGACTTCCCGCTATTCTGTTTTCTGTGTTGACTACTCTAAGAACCTCATATAAGCCAAGGTACAAATATAATACAAAGACAGTATTTGTCTCTTTGTGACTGGCTTATTTCACCTAGCATGATGTCCTAAGGTTCTTCCATGTTAAGGACATATAGAATTCTATTTTAAAGCTGAATAATATTTCATTGTAGGCATATACCACGTTTGGTTAATCCATTCCTCAGTGGACATTTGGGTTCCTTCCACCTTTTGGCTATTGTGAAAAAATGCTGCTATAAACATGAATAAGACTTTTGTTATTTTTTTTTAATTGTGACTTCTAGTGTACATGTAATTATTGTATATCTATGAGGTGGTACAGTATGGTTTTTCAAAGCATGCATACAGTTTGTGATAATCAGATCAGTGCTATAGACATAGCCATCTTATTTGACATCAAACATTGTATTATGGTGTGCAAATTCAATAGTTGTACTAACTTTCATTTAATTGTCAATGACGTTTTTTACTCTGCTGTGTATACTGTTTCATGATGGAAGATGCATGGTTCTTTTTATTTTTTTTGGAGAGGTTTTTGCCATAGGGCACATGTGCTCGCCAGAAAGACAGAGAGAGAGAGACAAAGAGACAGAAAGTGAGAAATCACTCCCTGGGGGGATGGCCATGCCGCAATACCTTCTCCTCCATTCTCCTCTCGGGATCTTGGGCACACACGCACACACGCACACGTGTCTTGCATGAGTTTAAGTAACCAGGTCTGGGACTTGAATCACGGTCGACTACATGGGAGTTCAGTGACATAACCATTATGCTAGCTGCTGGTCCCGATTCTTTTTTTTTTTTTTAGAAATTTTTTTGCTATGGGGCACTTGTGCTCTCTAGGGAGACAGAGAGACAGAAAGTGAGAAATCACCCCCTGGGGTGGGGGGGGGATGGCCACTCTGCAATCCCTTTCCTCCATTCTCTTCTCGGGATTTTGGGCACATATGCACACAGCCTTGGCATGAGTTTCAAGCCGCTTGGTCCAGGACTTGAAGCACGGTCAACTACGTGGGAGTCCAGCCAAGTGTGTGTCTCTTCTTATGTTTTAGGAAAGCCTACACTTCCCATGATCAGCATTTCCAAGAGATGTGTTTTACTTTAGTCAATTCAGGTTTGTGTATCTTTAGGCCCAGCTTTGTGCTCAGGCAGAATTGCCCATTGCCGTGTGTACTGTGCTTTGTGAATCCTTTCCTAATGTTATCATCGGGTAGTGCTATGGCGGGATTAGGTGGTGCTATGGAGGGAGCTTACACACCAGCTGATTAACCTTTAATTGATAAAGGTTTATTTTTACTTTAAAAAATTTGTCAGAGAGTATGTGTGCTCACTGAAGAGAGAGAGAAAAACAGAGGGAAAGTGAGAAAGCAGCCCCTCCCCCTTGCCCCATGTTGGATGGCCACACTACAATCCCTTTTTCATTTTCCTTTCAGAATTTAGGGTATACACACACACACACACACATGTGTGCTCTGTGTGTTTTTTAAGCCTTTGGATTTGGGACTTGAACCACGTGGTCAGCCATGTGGAATCCAGCCACCTTAACTACTATGCAACTGGCTGCCCACTAAAAGCTTGTTTATTTATTTATTTATTTATTTTGAGAGGTTTTTGCTATAGGGCGCGTGCGCTCACCAGACAGACAGAGAGAGACAGACAGAAAGCAGGAAATCCGCCCCCACCGGGGGGGTGGCCACGCTGCAATCCCTTCTCCTCCATTCTCCTCTCGGGATCTTGGGCATGCACGCACACGCGCCCGGTGTGAGTTTAAGCCACCGGGTCCGGGACTCGAACTGTGGTCGACTACGTGGGAGTCCAGCGACATAGCCATTATGCTAACTGCTGGTCCCAAAAGCTTGTTTACTAATAGTTTATCTTTACCACATAGCCTCCTAGAAGGTAGGGCCCTAGGATGTTAGAAGCCAGGTCAGATTAGTCCTAACTTAGAGAGAGGCGCGGTCTCACTAGTATCCCTGAACCTGGGATAAAATAGGCCATGTGTGAAAGGAGTAGAAGTCACAGGAGAGGAGCGGAACATCCTGCTTAGAAAGGTTGCCAAGCCTGTTGACCCTGGTAGACATGGAGGAATTCTGTACTGGGTATTTAATTGCTCCCAGTATGCATGACTGAGAGGCCATCTCCCCTTGTCTTGGTGAAAGGCTCAGTTTGCCTTGGGCCCATTCCAATGCGACAGCTCTGACTTTCCCTGCCTGCTGGTTTGTTTGTGCCCAACAGACTGGCCTTGAACAAACACTAATGAAGTTTACATACATGAATGGGAAAAAAATCTTAAAATAGATTTAGAGGGATTCAGTGACTTAATGAGGGGAGCCAAGGCTGGACAATCAGAAAACTTAGTTGCTGATTAGGCAGAACCCAGGAAGAGACAGAAGAGGGCTACAACCAAGTATGAATGCTGTGCTGACCCTGATGTATAGTTAGATGAAAGGATCATCCCATTTAATTCTTTTTGTAAGGAATTGTTTATTTAATTTTTAATTATTATTTATACATTTAATCACTATACATCATTTAGATTGTAAAGAGACTTTATCCAGCATGGTAGACACCTCAGTCCAGCCCAGTTGAGAATACTATACATGTCCTCATCAACAAATAATAAACCATGCCTGTGTCCCACAAATGTCTTACCTCTTTATTTTTTCCCCCAAATTTTCTTTCCTACCCCTCCTTTTTTTTGTATCCATTTAATTCTGAGCTGCCTAGCAGCCAACTAAAATAGGAAACCTGTTTGGTTTGATGCTTCACTATGATCATAACCTTAAAAAAGCAACTAATTACTTAGAAAAAATGTGATTAGTGACATAGGGACCAGATCAGAATTTTTTCCTGGGGTAGGGGGGAGTAGTTACCATGAAGAAGATTCTTTAGTCAATACCATCTTTGAGAGCATCTTTACAGCAAGTGCAATCTCTTCCCATCATGTGGGCTGACAGAGTCAGGAAAAGCAATGATTTGGGGGTGCTAATAGGGCTGAGACAGGCACATAGCTCATTTTTTGCTATACTAAATTCTAATCCCCCTGAAGTACAGTTGGACTATATAAAGGGAGTTCAAAAAGCTAGTGGAAAATGGAATTAAAGTGCAAGTTTATTTTGATGTAAAAAAATATATATATTGAGGGCCATTAAATGGCATAGAGGTTTAGGCATTGGATTCCACATGGCCAGCTTCACATTTTGAGTCCCAGACCTGGTGGCTTGAAAATCGTACTGGGTGCATGTACATTCATGCCCAGAATCCTAAGAGGAGAGTGGAGGATAAAGGATTATGGAATGGTCATCCTTCCTGGGGGGCGAGGGGAGAGGGAGGATATTTCTCACTACTTCTCTCTCACTGTGTCTCTCTTTGTCTCTGTCTCTTTCTGGCAAGCACACGTGCCTTATAGCAAAATAAACAAAAAATTAAAATCCATGTATAGTGTTTCCCACTAATTTTTTGAAGACCCTGTCCTTCAAGTAATCTTTCTTGAATATTCTTCCAGTCCAGCTTATGCCAAATATTTCATTGGCAATGAGCTGAAATTCCCTCTCTGACAAGAGCCCATTTGGACTCCAGCTGTTCTGTGCTGTCAGTTAAATCTATGTCCATACTTTTTAATAGACAACTGGGTGGGGAGAGTGCTAATATCTTTTCTTGGGAGTGTAACTAAATATATGCTCTCCTACCTCTCCTTAGGGAAGGGTTGAGGGAATCCCTACAGGCACAGCTAAGAGCCTTCTTGGACACCTGTTCTGGATCCTCTGTCAAGCACAGACGAGTGGGAACTCACAGTTTGGAGTTCTAATTGAATGCCAAGGCTGCAACAATTTCACTTTAACTTGGGAAATCTTCAAGGCAGATGTTTCCTCCTTAGATGTTCAAAATTTTTTTTTTTGAGAGATTTTCACTGTAGGGCGCGTGCGCTTGCCAGACAGACAGAGAGAGACATAGAGACAGAAAGCGAGAAATCACCCCCCAGGGGGGATGGTCACGCCGCAATCCCTTCTCCTCCATTCTCCTCTCGGGATCTTGGGCACGCACGCACACGCGCCCGGTGTGAGTTTTAAGCCACCGGGTCCGGGACACGAACCGCGGTCGACTACATGGGAGTCCAGCGACATAGCCATTACGCTAACTGCTGGTTCCCTAGATGTTCAAATTTTTAACTCTGACCTGAGGGGGAGCTGGCACAGCCACTGGGAACAGAATCCACCCAGCTCTTCTTATTAGCTGTCTCTTGAATTTGGTAGATCTCTGTGCATGACCTCAGGCGGAGAGGAGTAAGAAACTTGAACAGACCTTCCTCACAGGACTCTAGATATTTGTGAAGGTGTGATACTTGGCACGTTTCAGTAAACTTAGAACTTGCTTGCTCATTTGTTCACTTAGTGTAACATAAGGTGGTAGAGAAGAGAGAGCTGAGGCTTCAAAGTCAGACTTAGATTTAGAATCTGGTGCTCCGTTTACCACTGCCTAACCTCTGGCCAGTATCTGAATCTTAGTTTCACCATGAGTAAAGTGGAGATGATAAGTAGAATACGGAGGACTTGAAGTGATACAAGTATGCAAAGTGCTTTGTCATCATTACTCAACGCCTTACCCCAGGGATGTCCTAGAAGACTGTGCGACTGTGCCCATGTGTCAGTTTATTATTTTTTTTTAAACAGAGGAACAAGAGATCTCTTTTAAGTTTATTTATTTACTTCTCTTATGAGAAAGAGATAGAGAAAGAAAGAGAGGAAGAAAGAGGGAAGAGAGCATTCCCAACAGGGTCATCATGCTGTACTCTATCCTAAGCCTTCTCAGACTGGATCATGGACACACGCACATGGCCAGTGTGCCCAAGGAGGTCTCAGGATGTGAACTGAGGACCTTTCCATGTGGGCCCACCTGGGCTACTGCTGCTTGACTGTCTGGTCCTAGGAACAAGGGATCTTAATCAGAACTGAACTTCTCTGTAACTGAGGTGCTTCTTT